GACCAGAGTTTCAGTCTGGTTTCTGCACCGACATTCTGTTGATGTTTAACTTGAGATCAGTTTGTCTGATGGACCACCCTGGAAACATCTGAGAAACGTCTGATGCTGCAGGTTAACAAGAAAGTTCAGAGAAAGAACTGCAGTCTGAAGTCCAGACGACCAGACGTGTGTGTGATTACACTCACTGCCAGAAGGGGGCGGCAGAGGTTCTGCTCTGGAGGCTTCAGAGAGAAAATCTTCATTTAGTCTGAATAGTCGACAAGAGTCACAGAGATGGTCAGATGGTCTCCATCTCGGACCGAACACGGTGAACATGAACTGATCAGTCCAACCACAAGAACTAAACCTGTTTAACCAGCAAAGGACTGCTGGTACAGAACATGAGCAGAACTTAGTGGACCCTGGTCTCCTCCATCAGAACATGTGAGCAGAACTTAGTGGACTCTGGTCTCCTCTGTGCTGAGGAGGACTGAGTCTGTCAGCAGATGAAGACTGAAGGAACCAGAGATGGACTCACTGTAGTTTAGTTCCTGCTGTGGGGCCTGAAGTTAATCAGAGCTGGTAGTTTGTAATCTGATATCAGAGCAGATACTCTGCTATCAGAAGTAATCTGATTACTGTGAGGGGACAGAGTGGAGTTTCACTCATGCTGGCTGAGCTCTGCTGTAGACGTTGGTGTGAGTGGAGCGTGACAGGATGAGGGGTTCAGGAGGATTGGTGTTCATGTCTGATGCTGCTGCTGGAGCTCTGAACAAACACCTGGCTGCTCCTCACGCCGTTCATCTCAGAACAGGATGAACTTATGGAGCTGATGTAAGGCTCTCTGAGGTTCAGCGTCTCGTTGTGAGTTTGTGGTTTGAAGGTAACTTGAGGTCGCAGACCAACGGAGGTTTCATCCTCTGCTGTTAATCTGCATATTTCCCATGATGCAGATGGGCGTGTTTTTAATCCCGTCGACATGACAACGGAGGAGGAGGCAGATCCTGATGCTGTCAGCTGGATCGGATCAGAGGAGGCGACGGACCGTCTCATCTGGACTTGTTTGGGTTCTGGTTTCTCTTCCTCGCCGTTCTTTCTGTTTCTCTGCATACTTAACGACAGAAGTCAGTCGGGTTTCTATTAAAACATCCGCTCTAAGGCTGGCGCTGGGTTCAGGTGCCGCTGGGAACTCCTGGTTTCAGGTCAGATTCTTCTCTGTGATTTAGATCATATTTCTCATTTTTCTTTGAATAGCATTTACATGTAGTCGTATGAACGTGCAGTTTTTCAGGAAGCGGTGGAGGCCGAAGGTCACACCTGAACAGGTGGGATCCGCTTTTCCGTGATTCTTTACAAAGTGGAGCAAGAAGCTGTAGTTTCAGAGACAAGCTTAGAAAACAAAGAAGATCCTGAGACGCTGAGATCTCGTATCGCTCCGTCATCCCCATCAGAGTGAAATCTGACGTCNACCCTGAGCCCAGAGCTGAGTCGGTTTTCCTCTGTGGACTCAGAAATGAGATTTGAAGTGTTGCTGCTTGGACCAGATGAAGCACTGAGTCCGTTAGCTCTCACGTTTTTATGTTCAGTATCAGTTAAATATTCAAACCGATGCAGAACGTCTGACAGTGTTCACGTTAAGACGAAACCGAGCAGCTACACTGGCCAGGTGTTCAGCTGTGTTCCACCGTCTGCAGGTACATCCTCCACGCCAAGAAGACGGCCTTCGTGGTGGAGCACGACTTCATCATGGCCACCTACCTGGCCGACAGAGTCATCGTGTTCGACGGAATTCCCTCCAAGAAGACATCAGCAAACACGTGAGTCGCCCGCCGCCATTCTGCTCTCGGTGAGGTCACGGTGAGGTCACCGCTGATGACAACTTGTCCTGTTTCCGTCCATCAGGCCTCAGAGTCTGCTGGCCGGGATGAACCGGTTCCTGTCGCTGCTGGAAATCACGTTCAGAAGAGACCCAAACAACTTCAGGCCACGAATCAACAAACTCAACTCCATCAAGGTACGACCGAGTGTTGTCATGTAACGTCACAGAACCACCATCCAGGCTGAAGGTGGAGAGGACATTTCAGCTGTAAGCCTCTGAGCAGCAGCTCGTGGCTCGGTTTAGCTCACTGAGGCTCATAAAGTCCTGCAGCTCTGTGGAACCAGAACCACATGAAGGAGGAGACAGAACTCAGGAAGCTGAGAATCCAGCGGTTCTGTCTGTTCTTACAGTTTCTGGCTGATAATTGGAGCCTGTTTCTTTTGTGTTTTGGTTCCGAGTGAAACAGCAGCTCAGTGTTTGGCTGTGGGCAGCGCCGCCACACAGCAGGGGGCGCTGCTCTCACCCGACACGTCACACATGAAATGAAACTGTTTAGAAGGACGATGAGGCAGCGCTGGGCTCCAGGTGGCGCCGGGCTCCAGGCAGCGCTGGGCTTTAGGTGGCGCCGGGCTCCAGGCAGAGCTGGGCTTTAGGTGACGCCGGGCTCCAGGTGGCGCCGGGCTTTAGGTGGCGCCGGGCTGGTCTCTAGGTTGGTCTGTTGGAGACCGGCTGGTCTGAACATGAGGACAGAGTAGGACCAGCTGCAGAGGTAGTTCAGAACCAAGATGGAAACGGGCCACAGTAGACGGGTCGTCATGTGATGATGGAGTGCAGCACTGATCCGTCACGTCTGTTGTGTTCCTGCTACATCCAGACCAGCTCTGAGCTTCCAGAACTCAGAGGCTTCAGGTCCACTGCTGCCTCCATCAGTCACCTGAACTCACCTGTTCACACACTGAGGGCACAGTAACGGACCAGAAACTCCTGGTCTGAGCTCAGAGGAGTTCAGAGTCGCTCTGGAACAGCAGCTCCACAACATTTGAACTCGCTTTACAGTTCAGCCAACCACATGTCTGTGTTTGGTCTCTGCAGGACACGGAGCAGAAGAAGAGCGGAAACTACTTCTTCCTGGACGACTAGGACGACCTCCTGCGACTTGGTGACATTTACAGCCGGAAACGACACGAGTTCCACCATCAGCCTCCATGTACCGGGCTCCATGTAGCGGGCTGCGTTCACTAGCCAGCGTTGTTGTGACATGTTGACATAATAAAGTGCATTCTGTCCGTGGGCCGCTGGGCTCGCCGGCAGCCACATCCTGGAACATCCAGCAGCCTGTTCTAACTCATGCATTTAAGTGATAATAAACTGATGCTTCCTCACAGCGTTTCTCTGCTCTTTTGTTTCGTCTGCTGATGCGTTCACACACAGAAGGTCGAACTTAACTCAGTGAGAGCTGCAGGTCAGTGAGTCAGACATGTCGTGTCTATCTGCTGAGGTTCTGAGGCTCAGAAATGATGGAAAAAGTCCATTACGGTGATCAATCTGGACCCTCCTCTGTGGACTTGAAGGACCTGGACCTCTGGAACATTCACAGTCTGAAGGTAGAACTCTGGTCAGTAGATAAAGGTGCTGCAGGTACAGAACCAGATGTTCTGAGGAGGTTCTTTAAACACAGTAGATTTTTTATGGCATGGTGCGGCTGTGGAGAACTCTGACATAATAACAATAACTTCTAATAACTTATTTAACTGTAAACTAAATGTTATAATTCATCCTACATCCACCCAACCGGTGGAGGCAGATGGCCGTCCCTCCCTGAGCCTGGTTCTGTCGGAGGTTTTTTTTCCCCTGCCCCCTTTTTTTACTTACCCAAGTTTTTCCTCTCCCTCTGTAATTTTTCCAA